CCGAGCCCAGCCACGCCCTTGGCCCCACGGTCGCCCTCCAGCCGCGCACGCCGCCCCTCCTCCCGCGGCCCCGCGTACCTGTGCCCGCAGGTGGGCAGCAGGGCCTGGCTCAGGTGCGCGCGCAGCTGCCCCAGCGTGGGCTCCGCTCCGGGCACCTCCAGCGGCCAGGTCCGCTTCTGAATCCGCACGCGCAGCTTCATGGCGCCGGCCGGCCGCGGAGCGGGGCCCGCTCGGGCTTCACACGGCGACGACCCCGGCGCGCCGACTACCGGCAACGAAGAGGGGCTGAGGTGTAACCGGGAAAAGGCCCCGCCGCGGCGGCCGCCCTGCAGACCAGTCTCCGGAAACCAAGCGCTCCGCCCCTCTCCTGAGGACGCCCCCTGGAGCCCACACTGCGAGCGGAGGCGGCCGGCCAGCGTGGAGCTGGGCCGCGCCGGCCTTGCGATCGATGAGTCGGCGCGCGACGGCGCTGCCTGAGGCGCGAGGGGCACACTGCGCAGGCGCCGGAGGCGGGCGCGCTCCAGTTCCGGCCGTGCGTGGCCCTGGCGGTGCTGGTCCCTGCCCGGAGCGACGGAAACGAGGATGTCGCTGAAAGGGCTGCTTGCAGTCGCCACGCCCCCAGGACCAGGTGGCGCCCCGCTCCAGCGACACCTGCTCTGATAAGCCTTAGGTTGAGCCCAGGCTCCGGTAGTTTCCTTCTGTTACCGCAAAATGGAATACAGCTTGCAGCCGGGAGTCTATGTCGGACCGCGAATTAAAAACCCAAATCTTAATAGCTAAAAGCCGGAAACGTGTTGCCCATAAGTTCTCTTAGGTCGCGAATTTGAGGATGGCGCGGCTGGTTGTTGCCGTCTCGGCCTCGCGTGACATGACTGCCAAGATGTAGGCCAGGGATTGACTAGGGCGGGAGGCGCATTCACATGGCTGTTGGCAAGAGGCTTCCGTTTTTCACCACGCGAACCTCCCCCGTAGGGCTGCTTGAGTGTCCTCCGGACATGGCGGCTGGCTTCCCTCAGAGCGAAGGATCCAAAAGAGAGACCCAGGCAAAAACTGCACTGTCTTTCATGATGTAGCTTCATAAGTCATATACTGGCTTCTTTCATATTCTGTTGGTTACAAACCAGCCCTTCCGTGTGGATCAACCCAAAGGCCTGAATACCGATAGATGGGGTCACGGGTCCATCCTGGAGCATGGGGTCTGACAATAACCATCATGACTTCGTGAAGAATTATCAGGTTTCTTGTGTGATAACCATTTGTCCAAGTCATTATGCGTTGAGGAAAGTTTCTCCCAATAGATGGCAGCACTTGTCCACATCCTGCCCTCATTCCTACCTTTGTGATGGATATCCTAAGTACTGGAGACCCAGACTCAAAAGACATGGTCTTGCCCATGTAGAGTTTACAGTTAAGTGAATCAAGTCTTGCAGTAGAGTGTAAACAATGTTTCACTTATATATAAATAAATACAGACCTGAGGATTGGGGTACCCTGAGGAGGGTTGCTGTACCTGTTGGATTCTTCAGGAGCAAACATTATATGGCATTGAGGAAGGGTGGCAGGACTAGGGTAACTGAGTGACCAGAGTGAAAGACATGGGTACATTCGAGATAAAGAAGAGCCTTGGGCTAAGCAAAGGGTGTGGGGACACATCCTGGAATGTATGGGAAGCCACTGGAGAGTTTTAAGCAGGGGAGTCTTTACTATCAGAGTTCACAGAGCAATAGAAGCTGACTCTGGCTGTCTATGCAGACAAGAAGTGTATTAGAAAGATACTACTTTGGTCAGGGAGTTCTAGGGAGGACTGGAGAAGCGAGCTCAGGCTAAACTTCCAAGAATGAAGCTCAGAACCAAGCTGAAGAGGTGGCCTGATGAGGACTGGGATTACTTCTGCCACCCACCCTACACTGGAGGCATCTGCTGTCACCGCTGCCAGGAACTACTGGGGAAGGGCTGCCACTGCCACCATCAAATGCCACTTGCTTTTGCAGCTCCTGCAAAATGCCACACTTTCAGAAGAGCCTGTTTCACCTTACTTCTAAATCAAAGATTTAGAGGTATGGATCTAATTGACGGAGTCTGGGTCCCACAACTGAGTCCTGGCTACAAAGGAGACTGGGAATTGGGAGTCTAAACTCTGTCCTTAGGGAGACAGGACTTATAATATTGGAATTCCCCCTCCCTCCCTAATAAAGGGAAGGCTACTCAAAAGATGCTAGGAAGACTTGAATCTGACAAGTGTACACCACTAAGGGCATGCTCAGAACTGTGATGTGAATCACTGGAGGTTGTGATCAAATAGATTGTGGGACATAGATTAGATCAGGGTTTCTCAGCCTCAGCACTATTGATATTTTGGGCCATGTAAGTCTTTGTTATGAAGAACTGTTCTGTGCATTATATGACGTTTAGCAGCATCACTGGTCTCTATCCACAAAGTGCCAGGAGAACCTTCTCTCTCCCCCAGTTGTAAGAACTAAAGATGTGTCATAACACTGCCAAATATCTCCTGGGAGGCAAAATCACCTTGAGAACCATTTAGTGAAATGATAGTGAGGATGGAGACAATGGATGGGCAGGGAAAATGTTACGAAGATAGAAATGATAGAACTCAGAAAATGATAGAACTCAAAAGCTGTTCTATTAGCTAGGATGTAGCTTCAGTTTCTCTAACAGAAATTTCACTCAGAGAAAACCACCCAAGACTAATGTAGTGGCCATTTTTGGAGGCACCCACCCCCAGTCTATCTCTGAGAACTATGCAAACTTGTGTGTTGTGTGTCACCATCTATAAAAATAATAGTGATAACAAGGATATATCAGACAGGTATGTTGTAAAGATTCTGTGAGATGTCACTAAGTTCGTGATAATTTTTTAACAGTGGCAATAAAAAACTAATGTACCTGGGATCCTTGTCACAATACTTTGCCAAATAGGTATAACTGTCAGGATGGTGGAAGTAGTCCATCCACAGGAATATGGGAGGATCCCAGAAGAGAACTAGAGCATTCCAAGGTACTGTCAAGATTTAAGGTCGTATGGGGACAGGCCTCCAAGACCTCAAGGCCATGAAAATATTACATACCCCTTCTTCTCAGCTCTCTCCCTCCTTGAAAAAAAAAATTTTTGTAGGGTGCTACTTCATTGTCTGCAAGCCATGGTTACTGCAGCTTTCAAATATTCAAAAATTCAAATTTCTTTTTAAAAAATAGGCCATTTCATAGACTATACTGCAAAGAGATGATGTCACTCCCCTGTGGGAGTTCATTTATTGGCTCCCTCTAGGTGTTTATTTTAAATAAACTTTTAATTTGAGAACAGTTTTAGATTTATAGAATTATTGCAGAGAGTTCCCTTTTGCCACACACCCAGCTTTTCCTATTAACAGATTAGTATGGCACATTTGTCATAATTAATGAATCGATATTGATACATTTTTTGTTAACTAAAGCATGTACTGTATTCAGATTTTCTCAGTTTTTTTCCTAGTATTATTTTTCTGTTTCAGGATCATCCGGGATATCACATTTAGTCATCACACCTCCTCAGGCTCCTTTTGGTTGTGACAGTTTCTTAGGCTCTTTTGTTTTTTGTGACTTTGTTTTGAAGAGTACTGGTACTCTTCAAAAAAAGAGTACTATTTTGTAGATGTTTGGGATTTGGCTGATGCTTGTCTCATGGGATTTGTCTGATGTTTGTCTCATAATAGATTGGAGTAGTGTGGAGGAAGACCACAGAGGTCAAGTGCTAGTCTAATCACATCATATCAGTGTGCATGCTATCAATATGCCTTATCACTGTTAGTATTAACCCTTATCACTTGGCTTCTTCATGGTAAAGTCACTCTTTTCTTCTTCTTTGCATATTGTACCCTTTTGAAAAGGTTCTATGTGTAGCCCACGCTTAGGGAGTGGGAGTTATGTTCCATTTTGTTAGGGTGGAGTACCTACATAAATAATTTAGCTCTCTTCTGCACAGGAAATTGGTCTATTCTTTATTTCTTATGTATTCAATCATATATTTGTATCAATATGGACTTAACAGATTTAGTTAAGTTTTGTCTTATAATCTAATACTACATTTTTTGTTGCTGCTCACCTCTGGCCATTGGGAGATCTTTTTATTGACTCCTATATTCATCTGACATCATAGAGGATTTTTGTTTGTATATTTGTTTTGTTCTATTCTGTTTTTGAGCACTTTCTGCCACTACAAGATGCTGTTAAGATTATTTTGTATATCTCCTGCCCTAATCCTAAAATCAGCCATTTTTTTAAGGAGCCCTACCAAGTAACTTTATTGGAGAATGGTATTAGAAACCAAGATCTGGGTGCTATGTGTGCTCATTGCTACTGGGTTGTTATTGCATCTAGGCCTTCTTAGCTGATGAAGCAAAAATGTGTGTGTGTGTGTGTGTGTGTGTATACTTTTTTAATATGTAACCATATGTATCTATATTTAACTAAGCATGAGTTTATTCTGATGGCTCCAATTCTAATTTATTACTACATGAGTCATGTTAGCCCTCTACCTTGCTTTTCTATAAACTTCAAATCCAACTGTCAGAAACCTGGCTTCACCCCATTCACCATTCATTTACATAATTGTTTAATTCCAGTCTATATGTATAGTAGTTGCAGAATTTTTAACCAGTACTCCCGTGCGAAACATTATCAACTGGAGTACATGCTTGTGTACAGTTCCTTTAGTCTTACAGACTCCATTCATTTCCAGAGTTACTTGGGTCAGCATCTTATTCCCTCATCTCCTTTGGTTAAGTTGTTTCAGACATCTGTAATGCACTTAGGTTTGTTTGTTGTCTTTTTTGTTGTTGTGACATTCTGCATTCCATTCTGGATCTTGCAGTCTCCTAGATCAGGGGTCTCCAACCCCCAGGCCACAAGCCAGTACTGGCCTGTTAGGAACTGGGCCTAACAGCAGGCGGTGAGTGGTGGACAAGCAAGTGAAGCTTCATCTGTACTTTCAGCTGCTGCCCATTGCTCACATTACTGCCAGAGCTCCATCTCCCATCATATCAGTGGTGACATTAGAGTCTCATAGGAGTGTGAACCCTATCGTGAGCTGCGCATGCAAGGGATCTAGATTGCGCACTCCTTATGAGAATCAAATGCCTAATGATCTGAGGTGGAGCTGAGGCAGTGATGCTTGCACTGGGGAGCAGCTTCAAATACAGACTAACATTAGCAGTGAGGTTTGACTGCTTATCCCCCACCCACCTTGGTCCATG